AAAAATCTTTATCTTCGTCTAATTTGAAGTTTCGGGGCTAACGTGAATCTACTCATGGTGTCACACGATTAAGCTCGTCCTGAATATCGAGGTGATCGACTCGACTGGCAATTTCGGATCCCTCAAACTGACACGTTTACTCGAGCTTTTATTAATCTTTTATGTAACTTTGTGAAATTGTTCCAGGGCTGCTACTTACACCGTCGACCTTTAGCCTGATGTCTCGCCCGGCAGCACCCAAGAGAGCCCGTAGAATCGACGTCGCGGTGCCCGTTTGTCTCGATGCCACCAGATGAATTGCCGTCTGTTGTCTCGGCTACGCACAATACACGAATCGATTCTAGCTCTCGCGATAATTTGTATCCATAATTGTCTCGCAATTTTAATACTAAACTCGCGACCAAGTAAAATAGAAAAATCATCTAAATGGAAATTAGCCAGAGAATGTCTGTGGCTGAGCAGAATTAAATTCTTTGCAACAATTCGAAGTAAAGCTCTGTTCGAAAGGATATCAGAGTCTCAAAATAGTGTTTTATAAATGATAAATTATGTTTTAAAATCGCTACGGTCGATCTTGTTACAGAAATAAAATTATTCATACCCCTCCAGTGGCGTAGGGATCAACGCCTCTCTTGGACAGCAATAACTTAACGACGTCCTCCCTCGAGTACATAGCAGCGATATGGAGAGCATTGTAATTGTCCTGTAGAAAACGTGTCAATGAAATGCATTTCGGACGCGCCTATCTTGAACGTGTATATATTTGAAAACCTCGGCCAATTTATCCGATAATTTTTAATTTGCAGATTATGTGGTCGCTCTCCACACTTTTTCCATTTAATCTCCACTGGATTAGCGGTGGTTAAGGGGCGTTTTATGGAAATAAATAAAACGGTAATGGAACCATGAGCCTCGTCCTGCCGCACCCGGGCAAGATTGGGCTGGCCCTTATGACGTTTCAGGTTTCAGGCTTCCGATCACGGCGTATCAACATGCTATTTGAAAATTATATTAGAATCATTGTGGGAGCGGTAGATCAATAGCAGGGAGTATGCAACGCCTTGCATGTGTTTGCGAAGTAGTGCTCTAACGTAACGCCGCTCTGGTACTTGCATGAGCAAGAGGAGTAACATCAATCATACGTAGAATGCCCAACTTCGCACCCCCTGGTGATGAATAATAATAATAATTACATCTCTTATTGACAATAATTATTTCTTCTGTTGATAAATTTCTCGCTACTAATGATACGCCTTACACAGTTTACACGATTATGAATAATGCGACCGTCATTCTTTTCCGCCGCCCTTTTTCGTCCCGACGCGTAGGACATTCAAAATCAATAAATTTTACTATAGAGCTCTTGCGGTGGCGTTCCCAATGACTTTCAGAAGGTTGCACCGAGCGCGCTACATAATTGAACCCCTGTCCGGGGTGTCAAGCGCAAAAAGCTGCTGCAGTAGAAGTCGTTGGCGGGCAGCTTTTTAACGGTTTAACGATCAAACTTTAATCTATCCTAGGAATCGGACTCCTTTTTCGTTGCGGATAGTTAGCTGACTTGGCGGCCTACTTATCCAGTTACACGGGTGCCCGTCTTTGTCCACTCGGTCAGTAAGCATGAGCCCCTTGACCTTGGCCCTCCTTCACGCAATCGCCGGCTTTCCCGACTTAGTGACTCAACTTAGCACAGATTGCGGCCTGATCATTAACTGTACACGTTTCGTGGCACGCGTCACCTTCGCGGGTGCTATTACGTGCCAGTGCCACGTAATCCCAGCACGAGAACTTATCGCAACGGCAATGAATCAAAGAATGATGAATCAAACATTTTTCTTTTAGTTTCAAACGAAATATCTCGAAAAATTCATCCGGCCGCGTCTAGTACAAGGATGTGATTTTTAACGCGATAGTGTAATTAATGTTTTCTTCAATTTTATCGAAGATGAAGAACGAGCTCGGTCTATCGAGCGATTTATCTCATTCATCGTGGAGCACTTACATTGTTTCTGGCACCCACGTCGGACCCGAGCTCAATCATCCGGTCGAGCAGCGCGCTGCGATTGTCTTTTACTGCGTACATCAATGGCGTCATCCCCGTCGTCTGCAAATAAAAAAAGATCTTAGAAACATCATAAAAACATCTTAAAAATATCTTGAGAAGTAAGTTCGTCATGCGATCTTTTTACGATCGTTCGAGCGTCCAACGTCTATCTAAAATTTTCCTATTAAAGCTTTCCGCAAATATTATAATGCATTCCGCGGCAGAAGGAATTTACTTTGTCCACGGAAACGTTACGTGCTTTCGCGATTATTTTTAAAAATCTTACTCGAGTACACATTGATTTCCTTCGTGCCAGAGATCTTTTTACGATTACTCGAGCGTCTATTAAAAATTTCCCTATCAAAGTCTCTCGCAAGTATATTCGAGAGAGGGATGTATTTTGTGCATGAAAACGTTACGTGCTTTCGCCATTATTTCTGCAAGCTCTGCCTCTTCTTCGAGGGCACGCATTGGTTTCATTCGCGCCAGAGACTCCTCGGCCTCTTCAAACTCGATTGTATGAACGAGACTAACCGTGTCCAAAACACCGGCGAGCGGCACGATGAAGCCATCGTCCCCCGCGCTCTGCACCGTCTTCTCCAGAGACTTGAGCAGCTGGTCCACGGGGGCCCACTCTCCGCGTGCCGCCAGGCCCAGCAGCCTCTGGGCCCCTTCTCTGGCGGTCGCGCCGGCGGAGCTGGGCTTACTTCCGGGCTGCGACGGTTCTCCTGCGGCCGCACCACCGCCATTGCTTCCCGTCGAGGCTGAACCACCATCGTCCTTGCCGCCCGACGGGCTGTCCTCTTTGCTGGAGGGATTCTTCTTGTCGTCCTTGCCTCCCGGTGGCTTCTTGCTGTTACTGCTCATACTATGCTACGTACGATCCCACCACGTGGAACGCGACCATGATTCGCTCGAGTGACTCGCTCTCGTTCAGAATTGCACACCGTCAATGACACACGGAACAGCGAGAAATTGTACGGCCTGGTGCGGGTGGATACCTCTCCGTTTGCCGCGACGTACACACTTGGCAGAATGGAAGATACGACGCTCACGTTTAACGGTGTTAAGCGATTTTCGGTGCTAACGAGAAGCGAGGCAGCTTTATTTTGTAGGGGAAAAAAACAATTCCTTGTAAAATCGATGTATATGTACAATAAGCACGAAGAATATGCTTCAGCTGTATCACCGGAATGATACGTTTGAAACATTCAAGACGATACTTTCATGGGAACTACAAAGTCTGACGGAAGTCACTGGAAGCGTCGTTATGTCTAATTAATCTTCTCATATGTAATATTTGTACAATATTTTGAGTGATATCGCATCACTCTTGAAATTCGGTGAATTTCGAGAGTGATTACGATTCCAAGTTTGATAAAATCTCTGAAATATCTCTACACGCGTAAATCGCGAGAGATTAATGCCTCCAACGTAACGACGCTTTCGACGCTTTCTGTTAGATTTAATTCGCGTTTCGTGTGAGAGTATCGTCTTGACACGAGCGAAAAGTCCTTGCAGTTGACGCACTGTTAATCTTGTTACTCAGCCAGTTGTGTCGAGCGAAAGTTAACGGCACCGAACAAGTGTTAACGGCACGGTCAGCCTGGCGATTCTGAAGACGGTATGCAACCCAGAGTGAGTTGAGAAGAAGAGAGAGGGTTGCTTCCCTTCGGGCCTCGTTCGCTCGGCAGGATCGACCAATCGCCGACTCGTTCTCGCGGTTCGTTAGGGTAACGTATGCACCAATACTCCCTTACCTTCGACCTGCACGGATTGTTTTTCGCACACACAGGCGCGAATCCGTGGTAGGCCGTGCTGGCCGTCGCTGGTAGCAGCTAAGGAAATCAAGCAGGAGGTGGTGGTTCAGGTGGAGGAAGGGTGAGAGTCGCAGAGGGGCTGTTATGGCTGCCGTCGACACGCGACTTCCGGACCAGCCCGGCAGGCACGCTATCCGTCTATCTTGAATCCACCGGACTCTCTGCCACGGCTCTGAATAACGTCCCTCATTCCTCTTCGCTTTCTCTCGCCCAGGACTAAAGACTCGCTCGTGCGTGGTCTCTATTTTTCGCTCTCTCGATGTGGTTTTTCTTTTACTTCCGGTAGTGGGTATACCTTCGGCGTGCAAAAAAAGTACGAGTCGTGTGATAAGAACGCGATAAATTATATTTAACACAGATGATATTAAATAACACCTCCGAGCCAATTAGCTCTGAAACATGTCAAACGTTTAACAAATGTCTTGAAATATTTTCCCAATGTTGAGCAATGTAGAAATATTAAAGAAGAAAAGTCTAAAGGGGCCCCCTTCCTCAAAGTATCATAATTATTGAGAAAAGTACTCAACCTATGTTACGAAATTAAAAATTCTCAACTTAATTCTTATTTAAATATTTACAATAAATCATATCCACTAAACATAGGTTGTAACAATTACATCCATGTGTTATGTAATTAGCTACACGTTACATCTGTGTTATAATTAACATTATCTTAAGTAGGTTATATGCAGACACACGTTTCTTATGTTGATTTACCTTTTCTTTAATTTTTTTCTACTTATGGCGATCTCTTATGACGGTCACTTTGAAAGTGAATGTAATTGAAAGACTATCCTTATTTAAAAAATGCTTAGTATAGCCAACCACACTGTAAATAGAAATACTTCAGGCTATTTAAATTTATAATTATCTCACACTGATACGACTTTATTTGAATTGTAGTTCCAAGGTGATGAAAACAGGAGTGACATCGCAGTGTGACTCGTTAGTATACATTCTCTGCTCGCACAAATAAGCACGTGGCATTAGCTCTGGATAGAAACCGAGTTGAGGTCAACTAACACGATATCAATAACGTTCGATACGAGTCGAGATGAGATACGAATAATAACATCGTTTAAAGCATCTCGTTTATTCGTATTTACATACATCCCATGCATTTCATCATCAGTACGTTACGAACGTCATACTAACGATACATGTTGACAATCATATCAGTTAAATGAAAGCGTTCCCCGCATTGCGGTGGTGCAACTCTGTTCAGTTATTTCTATTCGTGATACATTCGACGTTGAACGTACTAAATCACCGGGCAGTGTTTCGTAATTTATTCTACAATTGTATCAGCGCGCGTTCGCTTATGTGTGAGCATGTGTGTGTGTGATAGATAGGAAGAAGGGCGCCTTGATAAGATTGATAGGAAGAAGAACAAATAAGATTGATAGGAAGGAAACGATCTTGTTCGATTGTGAAGATATTAAAAGGACTATTGATATTGTATCAGTTAAAAAATTGTTCAGCTTCATATATATTTTTACCTATCTGAATACATAGATATCTTGTTTTCTTCTGTTGTCTATAAATAATCGAGGCAAAAAGTATTTTAATTTTTATTGCCGTTAAATACCACGATTATATAACCGGATGTAACATACAGCATGTTCAAAAATTCATAGTGTAAACTGGGCATACATATGTTAATTTTCTTGTTCACTTCGGTGAAAATCATAAACGTGAAGTGCGTTGAAAAATATCAACCGTTTCTAAGTTGCAAATTATATTTACTTAATCAATAAAGTATCTTTACTTTATAATTGTTCTTATTGTAAAAGCTACTTGAGATTATATAATCTCTCTCAACGCATTCGATACTTACACAATTTCAAAATAGACATATAGTATCGCAACCTGATAGTTTTCGAATTTATAAGTCAGTGTTTGTTACGTTTCCTACATTCATAAATTAGATACTTGTTCTTTTGTAAATGCTTTTATGGTGAATAAGAAAATTTTATAATGCATTTTTCTAAAAGATTTGTAAAAATATCTGAGGTATCAATAATTCTTAATTAAATTTAAAAAAACATTTTTTTAAGTCGCAAAATGGTCATTTTGAAATACTTTGAATGCACTTAATATTACTTGTTGCAATGTATATCTATTTTATAACTACATGTAAAAGAAATTATTATGATATGAATGACAGATAATATCGTACCGGACACGATAAGAATTTTGTTTCTACTAGAGTCTGCTTCGATACAAAGTTTAGTGAGTGTATCGCCTGCTCACACGACACAAGTCTGGCCGGTTATTTTTTTCTTAGAATGATGCTTTCTTCATTTAAGTCAGTTTCGCGATATATCGCGTACGGAATTTTAAATCATCAAAACCACTCGCGATGTTTCTCTGTGCTTCATCATAATTTTAAAGGTGAGTAAAGCAAAATCATATAATAATATAAATTATAAACTTGGAGATCTAGTATCGATGTATGATAAGTTCGAATGTGTTATAACATTCTCTTAGGCCGGATCTTCTCGCGATATTCATAGTCCGTTTTTCTTTCACGATTATCTCAAGTAATGTATTAAGAGGCTAATACAGGACTCCGTAGCCGGTATTCATAATCAGATCTTATATTCAAGAAACCATCTTATGTTTCTACAATATTGCACTGCAATAATCTTGCAACGTTACTGTAACGTAGTTGCAAATTTCTGTGCTGTATGGGTGTAAGTGTATATGTTCGTAAAGTTACTCTTAAAAACCTAAACTTTTTTTAATATCCTGTATAGCATCTCAAGATAACAAATGATATCTAAATAACATTTCTAATAAGACGATTAAAATGTCATTTTGCTATTTTGCATGTGATATAGTGCAACAATGTTATGTCAGTAATATTTCTGTAATATTTTATTACAATATGCAATATTTCCAATATTGCAATATTGTTGTGATATTGCTGCAATATTACGTGCTATGTGGGTTCTTTCTCTACTGTTTACTTTTATTCATTTCAGTTTTAATTATTATCTTTCATCTTTATTCGTTCTTACTCAATTAGGATAGAATGAAAAGAAAAGAGTAGGAAATAAGGAAGAAAATTTTGGGCTAAGAGGAAAAGGGACAAGGACGGAAGAAAGACGAGGAGATAAAAGTAGAGACGGGAAAGAATGTTAGGAAAAACAGGAAATAGGGATAAAGAGATAATAGGATTATTAGGTGTGGATAGTAACATGACAAACAGTATTGAAGATATAAACGTTACATTTTGAGATTGTAAACCAAGTTTCAGTATTAGTTCCAAAATAAAATAAAATAATTATCAAGAAGAGAGAAAATGAGTGTGCATAAGAGAGAGTGTATATGTATGTAAGAAGAAAAGGATAATGCTAAATGGCACGCGCGTAGCGCGCGTAAAGTAGTGTTCTAGTTTTGATAAGAATGCAAGTACGAAAGTAGACATCCAGATAACGATTTGAAACGCAGAACGCCAAATCATCCTCAAGCGATATGTGCGGTTTAGCTAATTAGACATTGAAAAGAATCTAAAGTATATTACCAGAAACGATATTTAACCATTGATATTATTCGACGTCGAAAAGAGGTGTTCCTTGTGACTAAATTTACGCGATTTTGACCAGAATTTTGGACATAATTTCGACGTCAAAATGACGTTTTTTCGACCTTATATTTTCTATTTAAATATAAGGAAAGATGGAACATTTCATTGACTACGGAGTACCTAAAGATAATCTTAAGACGATTATAAATATAAGATCTGACTATGAATACCGTCCCGTAATAGGTTTACAACACATTAAGACCATGCTTAAGATGGTCTTAATGTGTTGTTAAATATTATATAAGAATGAACTATGAACTCTCTAAGAGTTAATAAGTCTTAAAGACTTCTTTAAGATGTCTTTAAGATATCTTTTAGACGTGTATGTCTAAAAGATGTCTAAAAGACATGTTAAAGACGTCTTAAAGATGTCTTTTAGACATGCATGTTATCTGGGCTAATTATATTATTAGACTGAAGGACGCTGAGTAGATAGTTTCCATATCTGAACTCTTTTTTTAATCTGCGTTAGTGATAATTTTCTATATCGGTATTAGTATAATTAGAGTTGGCAATTGTAAAAAAATTCAAATTACCTCTCTCAGAGATTCGAATAATGATATTATTTTTTCGTCACATTGATAAATTGCCATTAACGTTTTATTAACGTCATTTTAACAGTCCTTCGATATGGGTGTAGTTATAATAATAATTAAAACGCTATGGAATTGATTTCCAATTAAAATACATGGGCGAAACTCGATCGGTAAAGCACTTTGTGCTTCCGTGTTCATATTGCAAATGAATTGTTGCAGGGCGACGTCAGCTTCGAAGATCAAACATTCAAGCGAGGGCCAATTTTTCTCATGCAGTCAGAGCTGCTCATATGTATAATCCCGGCGAATTTCCTTTAATAGAAAAAACTATCGGACAGTTATTAAGCGAGGCAGTTGCAACATGGCCCGAACGGACTTGCGTTGTTTCGATGTCTCAAAATATACGTTTGACGTTCACCCAGCTTCTTCGGCGGGTGGACTCGTTGGCCGCGGGTTTGAAGAAGCTAGGCCTGCGAAAGGGCGACCGGCTGGGCCTGTGGGCACCGAATGACCTAGAATGGTTCATAACTTTCCTGAGTGCGTCGAGGATAGGAGTGATTGTCGTTGCAATTAACCCCGCTTATCAGCAAAACGAATTAGTATATTGTTTGCAAAAAGTTGGCGTGAAGACGATTGTTTCGCCCCACACGTTCAAAACGCAGAATTATCCGAAGATGTTGCTCGCCGCCAAGGAAGTATGCCCTACTTTGGAAGATATTATCATTTATTCGCCCGAACATGTGACGTAAGAAACTTCAATTAACGTTATCATAGAGTGTCACTTATCGTACGTTATAAGAATCTGTAATGTATATAGCGCAAAACACTTTAAAGTCAATGTTATCATATCTTTAAATTGGCGGTTTCTGTTAAGAAGTAATTTCACATTTTTATGAGAAGCAATTACATTTTTTTTTAAATAAAAATGTCACTTCCTGCCTTCGTTAATAGCCGTTTTTTAAAAAGTCGCTAATTAAAAATCGCTAATAAAGCATCCGAATGGCGCGATTATTGCTTTTGGTATAATTACGTTTTTTTCCTCTGTCAAATGATTGTTGACTCGAGCGAGCGCTCACGATCTTTCGTGAGCTTGTAGTATGTATATTCACACACTAGAACGCGATTGCTTCACTGATCCGTGAATATCGCGTGAGTCCTCGCACTTTGACTGACAGAAATCCTTTGCTCGATTTTACGAAATGGATTAAGAACACGTGATTATTGTATCAAAACGTCTCGTGCGCTCGTATTTTTGTGAATGTCATTTTCTATACAACCTACAATGTCCATTAGATTCTAAACATTCGTCCGTGTTGATTCTTTTTTTGTTTAAACTTACAAGAAAATCTTTGAACTTTGAGGATAAGTTCTTTTTGTTACATTAAAAAAACTTAAGCACATAAAATGAAAGAAAAAGTTTAGCTGCATTTAATCTATGTGCGTAATAATTATAGTGCGATACTTTCAAGATACATCTTAATATTTCTATAGAAAATTATACCGTGCATATATAAATCTTGTTACAGTAGATAGATATCAAATATCACAATAATTTGAATATATTTCTTGGTAAATGGCCAAAGGTATTATATAAGGTATAAGTTCTGTTTCATGACATGAATATAGCGTATCGATCTGAGGTCGGAAAGAAAACGAAGATGGAACGATTTGAAATACTGAGAAGGGTGACGGTGTTTAAAACGAAACAGTCTCGAAGGGAACGTTCAGCCAGCAATCTCTTCGAGTACCGTTTCCTTTTGTTAAATTATTTTTTCGTCGTGCGTTCGCCGCATTTATCGGCGATTGCACTTCGTGAACGTGGGATCCCGCGTATCGCGTGCTTCCTCTTGGCGTAGCGCTACAGTACTCCAACTTTTACCGATCAACCCGAACTGATTAATAACCGTGCCGTACGGAAGAATCATGTTGCAATTAGGTTAATAGCTTCGCCGAAGGTCTATCCGTTCGCGCTCGCAAACATCCGTGTCATTGAGAATACGTGAGCGATATTAGCACGTTTAATTTATAGCGGTACACGTCGTTTCGCCGATGTCGAAGTTTCGGCAACAAAAGAGGAAGTGGATGCGATCGCCGCCGAGCAGGACAAGATATCATGCGATGACGGATGCAGCATACAGTTCACGTCCGGTTCCACCGGCAGGTCCAAAGCCACGCTCCTCTCGCATAAGGGTCTCGTAAACAACAGCAAAGAGGTAAACAGAAAGAAGTAGATATTCGATAATTGCAGTATAACTCGTTCTGTTCTAATTATTAATTAAATAGTCAATAAATTTCTTATAGTAACTCTCTAAAGTGATTGCCTCTAACAATCTAAAGTGATTTTTTAACTAACGAAATTTCTTTACACTTGGACGCCTGGTCTAACTTGAGTGTGTTACAATTGCCGTGTTGAATATTAAGCTAAGGAAAGAATCGTTTTATTTCTTTGCTGATAGGCTGCGCGAAGAGCAAAGATAACTATCGAAAACAAGGTATGCCTAAACATGCCTCTCTTTCACGCGTTTGGCATGGTAATGGGCCAGTTGCTCGTCCTTCACACGGGAAGCACCATCGTCATGGAAGAACGCTCTTTCGATCCAGTAAAAACCTTGGAGGCGATAGCGCAAGAAAAGTGCGCCATAACATACGGAACGCCAACTATGTGGGTAAGCAAGGACGAGGCAGATGCATGCTAGATTATTCGAAAAATTTCCGGTTGACGTAGTCAGGCTGCGCTAAGATATTCGCCGCCGGTACTGAAAGTCCATAGTGTACGTGACGTAAATTATAGATGTTCTCAGTACTGGCACTGGCAATGAATGTCGGAGCGCAGCCTTGCAAGTGACTTACTTAACGATAAGATACCGTTATTGAGATTGCACAATTAATGTATTTGAATACGATAAACACTTCTGACGGTGTGCTATTGGCTAATTGTTAATAGCATCGCAAGTTAACCGGGAGTAGAAGTACTTATGCGATAAATAATCGCCGGTCATGCTTGCTGAGCGAAATCTCAATCCGATAAAACTTGTATGATTCATGAATAAATCCCGCAAAATCTTGTTATATTAGTCTTACAAAGTGGCTCCTCCTTTTTGTACAATTTTCGATACACCCATTTTATACTGATAACAAGTAAAGTTATCTCTTTATATTTTATCTTTATTAACTTTCATTATCTTTATTATTACATTTACGATAAAAAAACCCGTATCGTAAAATTTAAATCTTATTTTTCATTATCTCAGTCGTTATTTAATAAAACAGTCATTTACCTGTATAAAATGTTTATCTTACAGATTCTAGTAATTCATGATAAAATTTACTAAAAGATCATTTTCCATGTAGAAAAGTGAGTAAAAATATACAACATTCTTTCTTCGATTGGCTGTACCTATAGCTTTTTAGAAAAAAATAATTTTAAATTTTGCAATAAGCTTGACTAGTAATTTGACTTGAGTTAATTCGAGTGAATTGTACCGCTTTAGCGTCAGCAGCATACCCAATGTATTTGCAATCACTGTATCTTATTGATAAAGACGTCGATTAAAATGATGATACGTGCCAGTAACGTCATAATTGATTTATATATCAAGGTTTTATGATACGTGATCATTACGCGAGGTATTGAGATTGTTGTTGCTAATCATGTTAACCGATCTCTTGAAGTAGTGAGCAATCGCAAACACTTTGATATGCTTCCGATGTTAGAACTTAACGACGGCAATGTTTCAGCTAATTGTTATGAGAAACTCTATCCACGTTTATGCACGTTCAATATTTTATAGGCACATAAACACGCTATTTTCATACTTAAAACTATTTTTCTAAAAAAAAAAGAAGTGCGACAAACAAGAGGTAAATTCTTGCTTTACTTGTTCAGTCACCGATCGCTACAAATTCTATGTAACGGCACCTAAAAAATTTTCTTCTTTAGCTGTGCCAGTCTCCATTTTTTCAGAAATTTATATCCGAGTTTCATTCATGTGTGATTTCACTAGGCGCACTTGATCGAGGCACAGCAACGATTACAGCTACCGACGGACAGCCTTCAGGCCGGAGTTACCGGTGGTGCACCCGCATCTTCTGAACTCTTTAAGCGAATTCGAGGCTTGCTGGGCTTCAATGATATGATGGTAAATTCAATCGAAGCCACGGCTCTTTAGCTTTTCAGCTTCAGCAATTATTTATCACAATCGCGATGATTGAACGGCGTTGTTATTTTAGAAGATAATTGTAATAATTGTATTATGTGTGCGTATGTGTGTGTGTGTGTGTATTTATTTAAATATTAAAATAAATTTCTGTGGTGAGATAAATTTTCAATTACAGAGCATATATGGCCTCACGGAAACAACAGCTATAGCATTTCAATCGATGCGTGGAGAGGATCGGCATCTTACGGAGAGCACTGTGGGTCATTTGTCGAATCACGCTGAAGCAATGGTAAGCGTGAAATACGCATCAATTCTGTATTCTGGGAAATGGCTTCTTCGAGTTGCGATTTTCAAAGTTTTGTTATATATTTTTTGACTTATATGTGTATCTTTGCTGACTAGATCGTCAATCAAAACGGTTTGCCCGTCCCTTTTGGACAACCTGGCGAACTTTGGGTTCGCGCGTACTGCAATATGTTGCGCTACTGGGACGACGAAGAAAATACGAAGAAGACTTTGACTGAGGACGGCTGGTTGAAAACGGGCGATCAATTTGTCTTGCAGGATAACGGATACGCTACTATAGTCGGAAGGCTCAAAGATATGCTTATTCGGGGAGGAGAAAATATTTTCCCTAAGGTGAGTTCGGTATAGGACTTGCATTATTCGCTCACTGTGCAATGTACTTTATTTGTCGTTTTGCATAGGAGGAAGACTCGATTAAAAATACTACAATATTTAGACAACGCGTTGTTATAGATTATCTCTTAAAGAATGGCAGTATCTAAATTTGTTAAAAGGGGATTTGTTCCAAATAACTTGCACGTGTAAGCTTGACTTTACTTTATCGAAACAGAACGAATGAAAAAGCATATGAATAATGTTTCAAGATTGAATTTCATTCAATTTCACAATTTCATGAGTTCACTCCCTTCGTATTGTATTGCAGGAAATCGAGGATTTCCTGATGACTCACCCTAAAGTGATGCAGGCGCAAATTATAGGGGCGTATGATGAGGTCTACGGGGAAGAGGTGTGTGCATGTATTCAACTTCGCGAAGGTGCGACGATGACGAAGAACGAGCTGACGGACTATTGTAAAGGCAAAATATCGCACTTTAAAATACCGCGTTACGTAGAGTTCGTTGACGAATATCCGAAGACAACCACAGGAAAAATTCAAAAATTCCGTCTGAGGGAACAATTGGAAGATAGTGGTGTGATACCAGAGAGACCGAAACATTCATAATTATCGTAGACAATAGTAATGAATTTTGAGGATAATCTATAATAATACGAGAGAATTAGAAACTTAACGACGATATTGTATTGTACTTGTAAGGAAACAATTAACAGAACTCGGAATTACATGTAATAATGTGCCAATGAATCCGTTTTCAACGTTGTGTTTTAATCTTCTGCGGTTGCATTGGAATGTACGCCACAATTATTTTGTCAGAATAATATAAAAAATTCAAGTAGTTATGTTCTGAACTTTAATAACACCCCTTCATCTTAACACATTATTTTATAAAAAGATTATAATTAATTATATATATTATGCAAACAATGAGTAATCTACGTATCACCGAACATTCTGACAATATTTTGTCAGAAATATCGAAATATTATGTTTTGCTTGCAATTTTGCTTTCAGTTTTCTGAACTTTTAATTTGGGCAGAATTTTTAGGACGCTACATAAAATTAACAATTTGAAGATTTTAATTTTATACTTAACAAAGTAATAAACGTGCCTATTGTGTGGACATTTTAAGCGTGAACTAATAAACTTGTAAACATCAATCGTACAACAATTATATAATATCATAATTTCTCACTGAACGGTATAAATGTAATGTAACACGTGTTGTATATGATATAATTAGATATTGTTGAATACGAAATTATAATATTGATGTAACTGTTAGTGTTTACTGAGATATTACTTTTCGTTGTTTAACAGCCCAACATACATAACGTTTCTATATTAACATCAGATCTATACTAGATCTTTCACATCACAGTTAATAAATAACTTAACTGAAATGCATCTAATCCAATTTAAACTATTTTTTATTTTTACAGAACTGTTTGCAAAAACACAGTTTAAAGAAGCCACCCGAGTAAATCGGTCAATTCCCATAAAATGATAATTTACATTAGTTCTATTAGCTAAAAATATAAAAAAGTCCGTCTGAACATAATGTAAACAATGTAGCTAACGTTGTAGGAAAGTCCCTGCTATATGGGAGACTGGTTGACAGAATTCCGGCTACAATTGTTATTCAAAATAAATAAACGACACTGCTTATTAAACTACAGACTAGTGGCTCTGGTCCATCAAGCCGGATTATTGAAAAATTGATTTTTCGAGTTTTGCGACAAGTTCGAACTAAAAAATTTCACGTAAAAACTGAAACTTTTTAACGGTAAAAAAAACGAATACAGTTAAAAACAACGCCCCGGTGGATGATAGGAAATTTCATTACGAGTAGATTGCGCTTTGTTTGAAGTAAATCGGTTGATTTTTGAATGCTAGTGGCTGTCAACCAAGTCAAAAAACACGGTTCCGAGAAAAACTTTGTATAAAGTTTGAAATAATGCTGCAGAGTGCTGCACCGCGCTCAGGCAAAAAAATTCTAGCGCCGTAAATATTAAGAATTCTGACTTCAGGCATTAAAAATATCATTTTTTATACTTCAAACTTCACTTTTAAAAAATATTAAAAATGCATTTTAATAGTATAACTTAATAGTATAACCCCCCCTCCTCCATAAGCGTTTATGGATCGTTTTCTGCCGTCAGTCTCGCCGCAATATTCTGCCGCCACTTACGTCCGCTCCGTCGGTAAAACTGCGGCCTTGATGTATTCATAGTCGCGGACGTCGCGGACGTACGCGGTGCGTTGCCGGGATTTTAAGAGCAAACAGCTCCGGTTTTCTCTCCGACACAGTCGCGACACCCTCGGAGTCGGAGGATCCTCGGCGAGGATAATGGCCGAGTATCTGGCGTCAATTTTCGGCACCGAGAAGGACAAGTAAGCGCCGGATTCACGTTTCACGCCGTTCCCTCACACGAGATAGGTTATGTATACGTCATTCGTTTTACTTCCAGAGTCAATTGCTCCTTTTATTTCAAGATAGGCGCCTGCCGGCACGGGGACCGATGCTCGCGAATTCACAACAAGCCGACCTTTAGTCAGGTAAGACACGCGCACCATAATTTGCATACCGCAAATATATATATATATTCGTAATGCTATTTATATCTTCTCGGCGTATTTGGAAATTGTACACTTTTCCACGCGGTTGCACATGTTTTCCTGACTGTGGTGACCGACTTTTTTAACATTTTATTAAAAATTTACACGTATATGTTTTAACACTCACGCGTTGGGATTTTAACACAAATCGACTACGGTTTACACGGAGTCGAAAAATAAACCAGTGCCTCAGAGGTAAACAATGTTGAGTCACATTTTGTGCAACAAACGAGATTTTTATGTTTGTCGAATATGATTTTTAAAAAATAGAAAAATCTCGTTTCTGCAAACAAAAATGCGACACTGTTCGCCTCTGAAGTAGAACTAAGCCTGTCATTGCGCGATGTACCGTTCACGCAAGTCTGTGTTCCTCAGACGTGCCTACTGCAGAATCTTTACGTAAACCCACAGAATTCCGCGAAAAGCGCAGATGGATCTCACTGTAAGTACACACGCTGTAACGAGCCCTAATGATAAGAGCATTATATGGTTTATAATAAGAGTACCGTACACGATGAGCGTAACGCAGTTAGGAAACGTGTATATGTATTTCACGACAGTGGTTGCGAACGTATCCGACGAGGAGATGCAGGAGCACTATGACAATTTTTTCGAGGACGTTTTCATCGAGTGCGAGGACAAGTACGGCGAGATCGAGGAGATGAACGTGTGCGACAATCTCGGCGATCACCTGGTCGGGAACGTGTACATTAAGTTCCGCCGTGAGGAGGACGCGGAGAGGGCGGTCAACGACCTGAACAATCGTTGGTTCGGCGGCAGGCCGGTTTACGCCGAGCTCTCGCCCGTCACCGACTTCCGCGAGGCATGCTGTCGCCAGTACGAAATGGGGTAATTGTCAGCCTAGCCGTGCATTAAGCAAAGCGTTTATGTAAAATAAGGCACGAAAATGTATACGCCGAAATTGTGTGCGTTTAGCGAGTGCACGCGCTCTGGATTTTGTAACTTCATGCACTTGAAGCCCATATCCCGGGAGCTCCGCCGGTACTTGTACAGCCGCAAGAAGGGCAAGGGCCGCTCGAGATCGCGATCGAGATCGCGGGGTCGCGACCGCAAGAGGAGGTCCCGGTCCCGGGACAAAAGGTCCAGGTCTAAAGACCGGCGCAAGGGAAGAGACGAGAAGGGCAGAGACGGCCGATCCGGCCGCTACTAATCAAGTTTGGTTCATACGCTTAGATTTAGTTTCTCGCTAATGTATCTCGGTCTTGTTTCATTTGCCACATTTCACTGCATTGCATTAAATTATTCCTTCATTATCAAACGAATAATAGAGCGAAAGTCCCTATCAAAGATTTTCTGTTCAATTGATTTTCCCCCCCTCTCCCCCGACGCTTTATTTTTCTCAAGTAATGAATTACTGCATCGCAAGTTCTGTAATAACAGTACAGGCGGCAGCACCAATCACTGATATCTAAAAAAAATTCGGTATTGTATTTTTGCAAGGTGTATTTTTTGTGTGCATCTCTATTATGTAAGATAGATAATGTATACTCGACTTTTTAGTTTTTACATTAAAATATCGAGAAAAAGTATTTTATCGGTGTTTTGATTTGCCTTTCCTACCTACGAAGTGAATATTAAAGATAGTAAAGCCTAAATATACAGATTTATTATAAATAACTAATTACGCAATTTATATATGCGTATTCACACTTTTGCTTATTTTAAAAAAATGAGTAAATAAAGTTTTTAAAATCTTGATACATTTGTTAATGACATAGTTGAACATGTTTTATTTTAGTGATATTTTGAAGACGCAACGTTTATTTGCAAAATTAAAAACAGCGATACTTTTATATAAAGTTTACGGAGAGATTCTTTTCCTATCGAATTTTCTTCTTCAACATTTCCTACTAGAAACTTGTACATTTGCCACAAGATGTCACTTGTAGTATCGTGTATCGCGGTAAGTTTTATTACATTTGTAGTTGCTATTGTCACTACATAAAAAAATTATCTCAGGCATGAACTATTACTTGAGAAACAGCATTGGTTTACAAACGTGAATTCGTTAAAAAACGGTAATAATTCATATAAATTGTAAGATGCATAAAACTGTTCTCACATGAAAAAAAAGATATAGATTTTTAAGAAGCGTATCATAAAGTTATACCGTATTTAGTTCGGCCGTAATAAAAATGCACATATCTTATATATTCCAAAAATATAAATTTGCACAAGGCAAACAAAATTCTGTAGCAACTTTCAGTAGTAGACAGCGGATTTCTCCTCGATAGTAACTCGCAATCTTCGCGCGGCGGGGCTATTCGCGAGCCAAGTCTTTATTCTCTTTTGTTCCTATTTTAATCGGTAACCCGCGCATATTCCTTGTCTCGTGCCGACCAACTGTTGCTCAACAAGTTGTTGTTGAAAGATGACGCGAAGGTGCGGCGGGCGCGCGCCCAGCCGAGCAAGAATAGCGAGAAAAAAAATTAGAAGGGAGTGGAAAAAGAAAAGGAAAGAGGAACGAAAAACGCAGCGGAGAGAAGGAAGAGAGAGAGAGAGAGAGAGAGAGAGAGAGAGAGAGAGAGAGAGAGAGAGAGAGAGAGAGAGAGAGAGAGAGTTTTCAAGGAGAATCACGTCTCTCCTCGAAATCGGTTCATCCGAACCGGGCACGTGTTTCGGCTGGGCCTAATTGGCGGGGCTCTCGGGGCCTCTTGCTTCGTTTCAAGACTCCGAACGGGCGTGCATTACCGCAGCAGATGGTGGTCGTGATTGCAGCTGCCTCCGACGAACACCTGCCTTCTGCTTCGGACGGCTATCGGAATACCGATGCGTGTTCCCTTGCCGCGCATTCACTGCGCTATCGTTTATCTCGCCCGCGAGATTTATCTCCGATGGCTCTCCGCTATCACCCTTTCCGGGGGCGGGGAAAAAAAAATGATAATCGTCCCGACCAGAAAAATCCACATGCGGCGAGTCGCGGTGGATTTTATTAACGCGCGTACATTCGCGATGAGAAAAATGCCCGCGGTATTAACATTAGTGCCGTAATATGGCTATATAAAACATGGGCGATTCCGTTAAACATGTACATAATTATTCGTTTACATCCGTACGTGGAATTCGATTATGGATGAGTTGTAAATGCATCGCGGTTGTCCGTTATGGTTTAGCTATAATGTGTTACCGGCCCCGCGAGTACGGTGTTTTTCAAATATTTCCATATATTTTTATAACGTCATACATTAAATAAAACGCGGCCGTAAATGTTATCGCACTTCCAAGTTGATTTCAATGCGAATCCCTAAAAAAATATATATCCCGTGGTATGGAATATGTGCCGTAACAAATTTTATTGTTGAAAATTTACGGTTGGATTTCCTTGCAAATTTTATTAACAAGGAAAAAGGGTTGATTTTCGTTTAACAAAACGTTCGATAATGCCGCTTCTCGAAAATGGCACGAATTATTACAGTCCCTAAAAGCCTCTTCCTCGACAAGTCCTATAATTTACAAACGAAAAGAAAACATTCTCTCTAAATATATTAAACATACTAATGAACCTGGAGAAAGATTTTACAGACAAGTGTCGACAGACGATATCAGTCAGAATCGATTAGTTCTTCGTTAACTTCCATTTAGTAATTTTAACACTAATTCGATATATTTTTAAATTTTCCTTCCTCCGCGATAAATTCAGCCCGAAGTTTATTTATTCACGTGCACATTTGAAATTTCACATAGCGAGAGCGGAAAAAGATGCTCGAGAACGTCGATACGCGTTGCAAATTGAAAACCGAGCTAGAGCTGAGCATAATAGTTGGCGAGCGGGCCATCTGAATACCATAATTAATCCTGGCAATCCGCCAGAACATCCTGGCCACAAAGGAGACTAGTTTCTGTACCACCAGATGATGGTAGTGAAAGGAGAAAAGAGAAAGGAGAGAGAGAAAAAAGAGAGGGCAGGATCGGCTTTCGAAATGTGCGCGTAGAAAATCACGCGTCCCGCCGAAGTCCGACGAGAACAATGGACAACCGTGACCGCGATTTCCCTCGTCAGGGAAACGAGCTAACGAGCTGTCAAACGTCACCGAGCCGGAAGGGCCCGGGCGTTGTTGAATCTCGGTGGCGCGGCGACGGATCTTCGATCGGCCTCCCCGCGAACCGAGCCTTCCGGAGCAGGACGTGTCCCCGTCTTCCGCTAACTGCGCGACGGAGATTGGCAATTACGCCCGCCGAGATCGATTTGATATTGAAAACTGGAAACGTTTCGAATGGCAATCGGGAGAATCTCGAGTGGCACGACGGCGAGATGCGCCACGACGCGGGCGAAACGGTTCGGACCGATCGGGAGTCTTCTTATTATTTCACCGGACGTAACGTTAACGTTAACGGCAATTTTAATTAATGAGTCGCATTATCGTTCGGTTAATTACTTCTCTGCTCCGCTCGCTCCGTTTTTAACGAGAGTGGATAAATCGACTCGACGGTGGTGGTACGCGAAAATTGCAATCGAATGTCAGGGCGCGCGTTGCCTTTGCGACGTAAATGATTTATGAAAGCGAGGGGAAACGAGGGTCGTCGAAGAGAGCCATTCCATAAAATACGGATAACTGCGTGTCGAACAACGGCGAGAGCCACGGGAGGAGGAGCAGGAGGGAGCGGAGGGGGCGCCTTTCAATCCCACTGTATGAGAAGACTCGTTCGATGGTGGAAAAAAAAATGTTCCGCGTGGCAATTTAATCGCGAGGTCCGAGTGCCGCCTGCGAGAGGACCGAACGGCTGATGGCTCTGAAAAAAGATGGGCAGGCCTCACCGAAATTCGATCACCGCAGAATCGTGGCGGTGATCTTGCAGGTGATCCGACCAAGACGAGAGCCAGCGGTAGCTACATCCGGCGGCTGCGTCTCTCGGCGAGAGAAAGAGAGAGAGAGAGAGAGAGAGAGAGACAGAAACAGAGAGGGAAGAAAATAAACCGGTGGAAATTTGTAGTACGCGCTACGTGACGACCTAATTGGTATAATAATAAAAATTTCGCGCGTTTCGGCGTTGCTGTGCCGGCGAATTCTCGTTTAAATGCAAATGCATCTCGGGGCCGCGACGCTTCAACGACTATATCCAAGCCTCCGCAAAAAGCCGATCCGCTTCTTCCGTTGGCGTTAAAACGATCTAAATGATCTAATCGAGTCTGCCCGACTGAAAATCTATACTCGTCGCGACTACGCGCCATCCGCGATTAATTATTCCAAAGACTGCTTGGGACATTTTATCCCGGGGTTGTTCAAAATCTAGTTCGCGACAATGCTTTCTTCCTCCCTCCCCCCCCCTCCTCCAGTCCGCGCACAAACGAAATGAAATTACGTATCGCGGAATTTTAACGATGAATATTTTATTGCAGGATATTATACTGTAATAAAATCACGTCAATCCTGTGTACATAATAATATTATATTATTAGCGATACGATCAAGCAGTGACATGAAGAATGCAAAATTAAAATATTCATCAAAATACGCGCGCATAGGATACATATTGGTTGTTTAATTGACTTAAATCGATGATACGATTTTTATTACGGTTAAACGTTACTTTATCCCAGTTTCCCTCTCGCGAAATATCCTCTGGATTTTACATCGCATTCGCTCGGCATATTCATATTATTTTTCCTATTTAAAAGCACTTGAGTAACGTATCCCTCCCGAGATAGCCCGCGCAGACGGAGCGATATAGCGCTTTCGAGAGATTTATGAGGGACGTCTTTTGCGCCCTGCCGCTTTCCCTGCCTCAGAAAAGAAAACCGGTTCATCAGAATTCATTGCGATCGGTATAATCGAAATCTGTTTTTGTTCTTCCTCGATTGTGCCGCGATAATGGACAATGACATTGTTAGGGGATGCGAGAAAGGCACGAAGAATGAAGAGAAAAATGGAAGGAGTCGCGACGAGGGGGCGGACCGTCGTCGTTGCAGGGTGAAATGACTACCGAGAAGGAACGGGAGAATAACGGCGGGTTTAATATGGCGCCGCGGGGCTCGTTTAATCATTTAATCGAGTCCCCGGCATGCCTCGGTTTTCCACCGTCGTCGTTTGCACCTCATCTCGGCGAATACCTTCGGAAGGGCCGACGATTACTTAAGGGCGATTTCGCGTGTGCCCCCTACCTTCCTCCCCGTCTCTTTTTCGTTCGGGGGAGCTCTCTCCCTCGTCGCGGGCCCTTTATCTCAGCCCTGCAATATCCGGTCGCACTCCCGGCAGAACTCATCGAGCCCGGGATCGGTATCCGCGCGAGAAGGCCCGAGTCCGCCGAACGGTGCGCGGATGGCCCGGTTGATCCTGGACAGCAATATTCAAATACAAAGGGCGGCTGAGCCGTTTCGAGTGCAGTGCACACACTCGACGGATCTGCGACGGATCGCAGTAACTTGCGAGAACGATGTAATGAAAGAATCTAGATGAGCGCGACGCGCGTCTTTCCAGCCGCGACGGACTCATAAAAGTCACGTACAAAATTGCGGATAATTTCCGCGCTCCTGTTACGCACTAATTGCAAAATGCTTAGAAAACGAGATATTTATTTGATACATCGCGCG